TATACAAGATTGTAATCTTGAGAGAAGAAGGGTAGCAGATCCGTTTCTCTTGTGCGGTAAAAGGAAATTTTGGTTTCTTGTTCCAGTAAATTTTTGTCGTTCAACCTAGAAGCCAGTAATTCAGAAGCTTCTTTTGACAGGTTGAGATCTCTGATGAGGTCATTTAACTCATCCTGGTTAAAACGTTGAGGGATTGACGACATCCCTTCATAATCACTGTCACCTTCATTACAATCAGAAGGGTGATTACAGGGAAAATACTCATCATACAAAAACGCTGATCTAAAAAAGTAGAGCTGGTAGAGAAAAACTGATTTTATATTTAGATTCAGCGCCTTAAATATAACTAAAATTAGTTCTAAAATCCTAGACACCCAAAAAAAAATTTTTTTTTGTAGGCTTGTGTAATTTATTTGAAAATTGCCAGAGTTAAATAATATGTACATTTCCGAGAAATACATTATATATATATATATAAAACCTCCCTTAGAATTTCGAAATAAAGGGGAAATATGCTCTCTTAAATGTTTCTTGACTACGTAGTTCGGTCTAATTGCCAACAGATGTCATATGCTGTGATTATATATATAAATTTGTATAAACATCGAAATATTCTGAACTTGGCACTTGTAGGGGTAATAATATTCTAATTAAATCTGGCTGATTTCTTGACATATTCTCAAATATGTGGCGCCTGGGAATTCATAATTTAAGTATTCACAAGAATTATTACAAAAATATAAATGTTCTCGGGTGTTGCATACCATGCCCTTGCAATGTGTATCTATTCCCTTTACGTTCACTTCAAATATATCATAATCATAATCATCACCATCATATGTAATGCGTAACGATCGGTTATTTTCTTGTATCCGTGAAGGAGGTTGGAGAAAGCTGCATAATGAGGAGCTTCATAACTTGTACTGTTCTCCAAGTATAATTAGAAGGATCAAGTCAAGGAGGGTGAGATGGGGAGGGCATATAGCATGAATGGGGAGATGATGAATGCATATAGGATATTGGTGGGAAAGCCAGAAGGAAAGAGACTACTGGGAAGACCAAAGCGTAGGTGGGTGGGCAATATTAAAATGGATCTTAGAGAGATAGGATGGACTGGCTTGATTTGGCTCAGGATAGGGACCAGTGGAGAGCTCTTGTGAAAACGGTAATGAACCTTCGGGTTCCATAAAATGCTGTGAAGTTCTTAAGTAGCTGCACAATTGGCGGCTTCTCAAGAAGGGCTCAGCTCCATGAGTGAGTGAGTGAGTGATATTTGTTTTGTCTACCCCAAAATCATCGTTCTTTTCTCGTGTAACGGAGAAATTTGTGGCAGGTTCTTGAAATGGGCACTCGAAAAATGCGCCCCCCTCCCCCCAGTGAAATCTATAATTTTCTATGAATTCCCCTATTCAGTACGTAGATATTTCCTCTATATGCAGTCTAAAAGGACGATGTTTGGTTTTATGTTGTTTCCATGCAAGTCAAATTCATAAATTGATCTCAGTTGCGATAAAACCAAATAATGATACCGATAACCTGCAGTTTTTTCGCCGGTTTTGCAGTGTCCTCAGTCGGTATTGCAGTGTAGATCTTTACCGAAGATGTACCTCAGCACACTTACTCTTATGCTTAATTCTATTGAAGTTACTTTCCCAGAACCTCTCAAATTCATGGTGTTCATATGCAGTAAAATCGTGATTTCGAAACGTCCGTAGTGGACCATAATGTATAATATTGTCTCATTGGAAATGTTGAATTTGAGGTTCTCACAACGGTTAATATGACCGTGAGATGCCGTACAGTCCTGCATTTCAAGGGTGTTTTGGAGGAAATCCTCTCTTTTCCGGTACCTTGTTTGGTTGTCTCTTCGACCACGAAGATGGAGGTAATACGTTCTTCTGAAATGTCGGTAAACTTCTACCAGACTACATGGAGTCACAGCCCAGAGGATAGTTAAGGACTTACATATCTGTGACATAGTAATATGTAGAGGATAATTGAAGAGGAAGAAACGCCGAGGTTTATGCTTAAATGTCTACTTTCTTTATTTTATAACTTCATCGCCGTTCGCAGGAGGGATTGGAAAATCCATAATTTAATATTTGAAATTCTAGCATTGAAATACGCACACATATCCGGGACTCTTTTGTGAGTAATCTGACAAAACGCTCTGACACATCTGCAACAAAAACTTTCAAAATTCGCTCTCATTAATCTCTCGTGGTGCTCCTCCTCCTGTCGGCGTATGACAACTCCAGAAACACTGAAGTGATTGTAATCAAGTTTGCTATCATGAAGTTTTACCAATATTTGCACATATATTCCAAATTTAACAAAAAATATGAGTGTAATAACAGATGCTTTACACGAAGGCTTACATACTTGTCTGCACTACCTCGACCTAATTCGATAGATAAGGAGACTATCTGGCAAGTAACCTCCGGTGAGCTGTTAACGAAACAAGTAATGTAAAAATTATTATATAAGAAAAATACGTACATAAGCTTCTCAACATAGTCACCGCCGGAACTGAGGCATTCGTATCGGGGAATAAGTTTTTATATGTCTGTATTAAGTCTGCCACTTGTGAGATTAACCATGTTCTGACACCTTCCATTAACTCCTCATTATTGTTGAAGCGCTGTAAATCCAACCAGTTTTTCAGATAGATAAACGGATGGTAGTCGCTCGACGCGAGATCAGGGCTGTAAGGATGGTGGTCAAACAACTCCCAGTTGAAAATCCCCAGCAGTACTAGAGTGTGAGTAGCTCTATAAGGATGCGCGTTGTCATGGAGATGTACGACACTGTATGCCAGCATTCCACTCCTTTTGTTATGAATGGCTCTACACAGTTCTTTTATTGTTTCGCAATACACTTCTGAAGTTACTGTGGTCGTTTGCTGCATGAATTCCTCCATCAGGACTCCTTTCCTGTCCCAGAAAAAAGTTTCCTTCAACTTTCTGGCAGACAAACTTTTAAAACATTTTTCGGCTTCTCTGGTGATTGTGTGTGCATCCACTACTTTGACTTCTCTTTGATTTCAACATTCACAAATAAATTTCAGGTTTCGTCACCTGTTACTCGTACGATGAGGCTGAGAAATTCATCGCCATCTTTGTGATTTCGCTCTAAAAGAAGTCAAAGTGCGTTTTTGCGCGCAACCCTGAGAATTTTCTGAACCCGTCTTGAACGAAACTTGTGATAGCTTAGCCTAACTGTGATAATCTTGTATAGAATAGTGCGTGAAATTTGTGGAAATTCACATGAAATTTACGAAATTGCGAAGCGCCATCTTCCATTTTGAACAAGATCGCTCACTAAATATGGCCGAATACTTTGCTCTTCATCGTGAACATTTGTTCACCAATCTCAGAACATTCTACATCGTCTTACAATTCCTCCACTCATTACCGCGGATAATTCACGATGGATTTTCATATTATTCATGTTTTTAGCGAGATGAATGCGGATAACAGCGCGAATTTCGCAGCTGGCGGGACTATCAATCGCAGGACACACAACTCACTCTATAGAGACAAGAACAAACACTAGGTGACCAGTTACATGATAGTTTGCAAGGCAATGAGTCACGTGACGCTACCTCGCATGCACGAGCTCTCCACCGCTGATAAATTAGTTGTCTAAAATACAAGGAGGTTACTTTCCGAAGAGCCCTTCTATATTACAAATTTAAAGTATGAAAGTAATGACAGTTGTGTATACGTGCCTGCATCTGCCTCTACCTAACTCGGGATATATACATCGAAATGAGAAATATTTCGAACAGAATTACGGAGCGAACAGAAACATAAACCTATAGCTCCTTATCGAATCTAGGCGTTCACAGCGGTTCATCACTGATATGTATTCTGAACTTGGGTCTTTGCAGAGCATATGGGCTATGTTTCCGACGTTTCGGACGTTTCTGATGCTTCGATCTTCAAGTAAGAAGTAAATAGGATAAGTGTTCGGGTTATGTATATATTTCCTCCCTGTTACCAACTCACCCTTCTCACTTAGACCCTGAATCTGCAGGCAGTACCTATGAAACTTCG